ATGTTGAATATGCAATTCAGGCCTGGTATCCATGGTTAAAACGAGACATCCGCCTCTTGGAACAGCACCAAAGAAGAGCCACAAAGCCAACGCGTGGAGTATCCGATATAAGTTACGAAATGCGTCTTCGTGTACTCGGTGTGTTCTCATTAGAATACCGACGGCTTCGCGAAGATCTTACTCTCACATACCGGATACTAACCGAAAGCGAGCATCCATGTACATCACTTGACTCTAGCACCATACAAACAAAACCGAAGCAACCACCTGAAACTAATGAGGCAACACTCTCGTTTGAATTGTAGAAAGTAGTTTTTCTCACTTAGGATCTGTTCTCACTGGAATGCATTACCAAACTATGTGGTGAACGCACCAGACGTGACGACATTCGAAAGACTCTTAGATTTTCATCTTAGTGATAAACGTTACACAACACTTTGCTAAAGTGCAATGATTTAACCACTGATAATTTACGTTCCACGTTGGAACATTTTGATTTTAATTTTCTTTTGCATATCCATCCTGTGGGTCTTGTAAAGTTATGTTTTTTTATCCCATTATACACCATTGAACCATTAAGTTGGTGAGAGCCAACTGGACATTTCTGGCAGACGAGGCACCAGCTAGTGCATGGGAACATTTCAGCAGCCAGTTTAACTCTCTGGTTGCCTAAGCGTCCGCGACTAAGACGTTCAGCCCTAGAAACGTGGTCTCCTTTCTGCGAATCAGGCCTGACACGGAAGTGTATAGCAGTGCAAATCTCTGCTTCGCATATCTACAAACTCCTCCCGAGCACCGAGAACTGGATGGCCTATGCGACCCAACGTAATCCCTGTACTCATCTTATTCGCAAGGATAGAATGGCGTACCAACAGAAGTTGGCAGTGCGCATAGATTCAAACCACAAGCTTTTCTATCAACACATCAACAGTCTTCGTAAGATGAAACGGGCAATTCATCCTATACAAACAGCAGACGGACCCACACAGACACCGAAGGAGGCGGCGAATACCCTACACCTACAATATGTTGCAACATTCAAGTGCGACCACTGGTCACCTAAACCCATGACGATGGTCGTTTTACCCCCAAAACTCACTCACATATCCTTCATAACAGAAGCTGTCCTAAGAAAGCTCTTGAGTAGGCGCAAGTACAGCTCTCCACCGCTAGCCGCGGTGGGACAGATTTTAGCTGAGCCTTCCAACACTGTTTTGCAAAAATATACATACCCGACATGTGGAAGCAAGGGATGATTACTCCAAATCACAAGGGAGGTAGTCGTTCCAATTCAGCCAACTACCATCCCATACTCTTACTAAGTCTCTTTCAAAGGTAATGGAAGCTATTGTTTCTGATGCGCTAACCACTTACTATTAGAATTTTAACTCCATTACACCGGAACAGAATGGCTTCTGATCAAATTGGTCGTACAATAAAAATCTACTACCAGCACGATTCAGCTGGACTGAAGCAGTAGACTCTGGCACAAAGGTTGATGTAGTCTTTCTTGACTTCTCAAAGGCGTTCGACCGGTTAGGCCATAGCATTCTGATCTTCAAACTCTAAACATTTTGTATTAGTGATCCTCTCCTAGGATGGTGTTAGGGAGCTGGCTACTTAACCCTCAGTTTCATGAATTATGTTAGTTGCCTATTTCTTTGTTTGCGCAGTTACCTGCTTCTCTGCTACATTTTGGACACGCCGCTTTCCTCAGCCTCATTCGCAATCGCTCACAGCTAATTTCAGCCGTCTCATTCTGTGGACATTCTGATTGGTTTCTTTTGCTCAGCCTTCCTTAGCTTTTTCACGTGGATGTATTATTCAGCCGACACATATTTATTATACCTGTTTTTATTTTCCTGGTGTGTATCATTCGCACTATCAACTGTTCCGGCATTTGTTTAAACCCATCACTTCTCCACACTGATTGGACGCTACGCGTCGTTTTTAATGGTCGCTCATCAGAAGGTTATCCCCAGAGATTAACTCCGCAGACACTATTTTCTTTGCCGCACTTCATTGGCTCTTAGTTTTCGCGATTCTCATTTGCTTGTTCCATTTTGTGTTTTCTCCATGCCTGTTGGATCTCATGCGTTTAGTAGCTTGGATTCGCCCTTGTTTGTAAAGCTATATAACTGGTGCCGTGCTGTAATAGAAAATCTGTTCATCCCGGCTCATCATGGACTTCTTTTTGCGATCGTGGGGTGAAGGCGTACTGGGCGTCACAACAGATGGATCAAAAGCTTTCTTCTGCACCGGCACCTGGAAATACGTGTGTGTGAGTCGCTATCAGATCCCATACGAGTTGAATGCGGTGTTCCGCAGGGATCGGTACTAGGACCTTGATTGTTTGATGTATATTGACGAGAGCACACGCGTCATATACTCGAACTATCTGCATTATGCCGATGACATAAAGGTGCGGAGGGCGATCAATAGACCAGATGATATCATAGCACTTCAAGTTTATATATATATATATATATATATATATATATATCAGATAGACGTAGAACCAGCTATAATCATGAAACGGAAGTGAAAAACGCTTTTCAAAAGTCCAGCTATTCCGTGCTATTAATAAGTTAGTATTACATGGATGATTTTCACAAAAGCCAGGTTCCTCTGGGGCTATTAAGTTGTGGCTTTCCAGATACTGCATCAGCGCATCTGCAATGATTGATTCTATCCCTTTGGATAGTACAGGAATTAGTGTTACTGGACTGTAGTTGGTAGGATCAATGCGGCTACCTACTTTGTGGATACGAGTGATGATCCCACGCTTCCATATCGGTGGAATATGGTTCTCTTCTAGACATCGCTGATAGAAAATAGCCAATTGTTCTGCTAGATCACTAGCTACCGCCCACAGAGCCTTTGGTCGAATGTTGTCGACTCCAGAAGAACTGTGGATACACAAGGATAACAACTTCTTCAACACAGCTTCCGCAGTAAAGTCAATGTTGTCTAAACCCGACGGTGGAGTAATAGAAACGAGGAGAATGTTTGGGCTCGTTAACTGCTGAAAAGTTTGGGAGTAATGAAGCCGTAGGAGATGGGCTGCTTCCATAGCTGATCGCCTGCATCCTTCTGCCATGACTAGTGCTGGTATTCCCCGCTTCATTTTCGTAGGCCGTTAACGGGCCTGTACAGAATTTTGCGGTTCGTGCAGTAGTCCTTCATTAACTCCTGCTGATGCGTGACGTTGTCTTCGCGGATCAGTTTCACACAAAAATTACGATGTGTCACGTATGCAGTTTTGGTTTCGGCATTCGAGCAGTCGTTGTGCGTTTGCCATGGCAAATCCTTCCGAGACATACATTTACGTGTTGTGCTCCATAGAAATGATTTCTGCTTGTTTTTGGGTTGGAAGGACTTCTGTTCCGATGCCTGCACTACAAGTTTGCTAAACGTCCTTGTAAAAATTTCGCAGGCGACATCTGGGGGGAATTTGGTTAAGAAAGTCCAAGATGTCTCCTTTACAAGCTTAGATCACACATTATAGTGCTTGACAGTATGCACTTTATCATCCTCCTATTCAGGCTAGTCCGCACAGCCTATGTAGTCAAATAGTAGAGTAACATTGTCATTACGACCCACTTGTGTGCTTGTAACTATCCCGGCAACCATGAGTTCTTTGTTAGTGAGCACAAGATCCAGTATCGATGAGTTGTTAGCAGTTTTAATACTGGTGGGAGAGGTTACTAGGTTGTACAGAGGGTGGCTAGCAATTAACTCTTGCAAGCGCGCTTTACACTGTGTACCGTCGGTTGCTGGCTTTTCTGTGTCGTGCAGGTTAAAGTCTCTAGCGATAAGAATGTGGGTGTAGGACTTGTTCAAAGCAAACTGAAAGACGTGTTTCAGTTTAGAGTCCATTTCCGACGTTGAGTTTGGTGGGCGGTAAACCATGGCTACTAGACATGTGTCCTTGTTTCGAAACCATAGGCGGCACCAAAGCGAATCAGGAGCTCGGATTCCCATGTGATCGAGAATTTCACATCGGAGGTTTGTATTATAATAAAGAATCGCCCCATCATTACTTCCGGTTCTATCATCCCGAAGCAGCGACATACCGGGTAACTTGATCTCAGAATCGGTTATCTTGTTTAACCAAGTCTCTGTAGTCATGACAAGGTCCGCGGTTGTAAGGCATGGAGTTCTCTAAGTTCGGCCAGCTTACTTAGAAGGCCTTAGGCGTTTGTGTACATACATTATAAGGTTTTTGTTGTTAGGAGTGCGCTGGTCGACGTCAACTTTGTGTTGGTTTTTAAGCCGGCCGTTAGGTGACCAGCCATTAATCCCCCTTAACGTTCCCCTTTAACCACTGGCTCTACTGATGCATGAATTAAACTAAGCATAAAAGCATGTGTGCTTTATTTTGCTTTCTTTATTCTCTTTTATCGGGACCTACGAATTAGATGATTTGCGGCACACACTAGTCGGGGTTTTTTCCACCGCCAGCTAATGGATCGGATGATGGTGGTTGGTATTGCTACTCAGGATTGTGTGGCATCTTCAGATACATATGGTTAAAGCCGAGGGGCGAATTCTAGAAATAGCGTTTGCCGGTAGACTTCTTAACTGCGTTGATCGCGCAATGCGTGCCGCAGCGATTAAAAATGTTTGGGCTTGCTAAAGCACCAGATATTTACTATCCACGTTTGCGGTTCTCCTAGTCCAATAGACAGCAATCTGTTCCAACTTACAACCTAGTCTAAATTGAGGCAGTGTGTCACAACTTAAACCCACCGATGGTAGGTTGAAAATCCGAAAATAAATTGAGTTATGTTCCTGCCCATTCTATTCGACTGGGCTATTTTTGTTTAGTTAGTTAACTATGCGTGACTACCAACAAGGGAATATCAGACAACACTATCAATTACTAATCAACCAATTCAGAAGTTTCTCCAGTTAATAAGGGTGGGTGGAAAAGTGTCCTCTCCATTGGTCTTATGCTGATAGGTTCTTTATAGGCGAAACGAACGATACTCACATACCTTGTAATACCGATAGCCAGCATTCCTCGACCGGACATCCATGGAGCGAATTTGCTGCCACGCTGCCTCCCGACAGACTACTTGATTGTATTCGTTCGGATACAAGTGACAAGCTGCCAAGAAAACAGGAAAATGTGAGTGTATATCTAATCCCGAGCCTTGGGCTCCGAGTCGGCCATAAAGACTGAGAGCATTAAGCTAAACAATGCTTCATGTATAGGAATAGGTAATTCAGGTGTTTCAGTAAAGCGAATACTCTCAATACTGGTGGATCGTCAGACGGAGTTACGAATTTCGCGATAGTCATTTCTTTCTAGCGTGAAGTCTGAACAGAAGTAGTCAGTAGCGTCATACAGCAGTAGTTGAGTAAGCGCCAGGTGGTGAGCAGCACGACCCTGAACGGCACTATGGAGCGGGAGTCGGACCCAAATCACGGCCTTCTCATGTGTTCCCATGAATATACTGACGACAATTATCGGCCTGGCTCCATACTGAGGCTGTTGTTGCATTCATGATGTTTCTTCACCGCAGTTGGGTTAAACCAACATGCACTTAAACTAGGTCATTTTAAGCTGGTTAAATTTCATTCCACTTTATTTCGTTTGTTCTACGTACCTGATAGTCGAAGTCATCTATCTGGACTTCTCCAAAGCTTCTGACCGTCTTGATCACCGCATCCTACTTCAAAGACTACAGAGTTACGGAATCGGAGATCCAGTACTTGGTTGGATTGGCAAATTCCTTTACCAACGAAAGTTTCAAGTACGTGTTAGGGGATCACTTTTTAACCCAATTGAGGTGGAATGTGGTGTCTCACAAGGCTCAGTGCTGGGACCGCGCTTATTCCTGGTGTTTATCAACGACCTCGCAAGAGTCATCTCCTCAAACTTCCTGCTTTTCGCCGATGACGTCAAGATATGTCGGGCGATTGGTAACAAGCCAGATCAGAATCTGCTCCAACATGACTTAGATTGCATTTACGAATGGTCAAAGAGGAACAAGCTTCAATTGAACATAGCTAAGTGCAAAGTGATGCATCTGCGTCACCAGCCGATGAGCGCTTACAAGATTGGAGACCACACCTTGGCGAAGGTTTCTCAGGAGCGTGACCTGGGTGTATTGGTGCAGGAAGAACTTGGGTGTTCAAAACAAGCAGAGAAGGCGACCAGAACCGGAAATCAACACTTCGGCCTTCTTCGCAGAGCCTTCGGTCGGTTTGAACCCTCAATCTTTCCCCAAATGCTTAACGCCTACGTGCGACATCACGTGGAATATGCCATTCAGGCGTGGCAGCCATGGCAGAAACAGGATCTCGTTGCTCTCGAGACTCCTCAACGAAGGGCAACCAAAAACGTCAGGGGCCTCTTTCATCTGCCCTATTAGCTTAGACTGAAATCTCTAAGAATCTACGGCAGTCGATATTGGCTTTTGCGGGGGGATCTCATAATGGTTTACCAGATTCTGAAGAACCCAAACCACATCTGTCGTCTGCTGCTGGAATTGAACCACAACACTAAACTAAGAGGTCACCCTCTGAAACTGACAATTCAGTATAGCCGGCTTGAATGCCGTAGAAATTTCTTTTCTCTCCGCGTGTGTGAGCCTTGGAACGCCCTCCATTATTATGTCGTCTCTGCTCCCAATCTGGCGATATTTAAAAAACATGTTGACGATGCATTGTCTCACTTACATTTCATTTTATGGCTTGTTATCCAGGGGCTAAAAAACGCAATCAAACGGTGTCTTGCCAAACGCCTAACCAATGGATTGATGGATTTATATGTTTAATACGCGAACATCTCCGCTATTCCACATAAGTCTATGGTGAGTCCACCACAACGCTTTTCACTTTACCATGCAATTGATTTTCACAATAATTTCCATCATACGGGACTTGTTAAGCAACGCTTTTTTACTCGTTATAAACCATTGTTCCATTGTAATGACACACGCACTTCGCTCATGCAAATTGTGGTAAACTTGCGTAACTTTGTCACACGGTATTTTTCAAATAACTTTCGTACATTTTGTATGAATCGCGGATTCGCTGATAACCAATTTACTCCGTATGCTCATTTACCGAGTAGCTATGTCGTCATATACGTTTACTTTATTCGATATATTTTATTTGATATTGTCATATCAAGTGATTGGTTGTTGTTTGACATCCACGGTGTGGCTACGCTTGATGTGAATGTTGACAAGGTGCCTATCTATCTATTATTCACCACGTCGTCGATACTAGCTCCAGGATTCAGTTGGTCGTTGCTGGAAAGGACGAGGTGCACGTTCCTCGTGGCCGTACTCAGTTTAGAGCGGATTACGGTCCAGCCACCTCCTTGGGTGCGCTTGTTTTCGAAATACAGCGTGCTTATGTTTGTCTATGAAGGAGTGTGGACCGGCTCCGTTGATGAAACGTCGCTCCCATCCACATGCCTCCCAGTATTATTCTTTCGGGTTTACACTGGATATGGGGTGTATGGATGGAGCTGTGGATGGTGCAGCGCAAGCCACCCATGGTCCCTCTGTAGGAGCAGGCGTCCTGTGGCTGTCCCCGTGGAGGCCGCAGTGACAGGCAAATCCGAAACCGGATGTCGCCAACTATATATAGACCTGCACACTTCACCTCTTACTAACGATATCAAGATATACTAAGTAAGAAAATGCTCTGAAGATCATAAGGAACTCCAGCTCGACCTTAGTGAGGCCTACAGCTAGCAGGTTCAGAATGAACTACCGTTCAGCTTAGACATTTGATTGATTTGACTACTCCATGCTTACATTTAGAGGCTTGATGAGCACCATTTACAAGCCCTTTATCAGCAGCGCCGTCTCGGTGTGTTCGTACAGGATGAACTTGCATGTTCCTGGCAGTCTGGGACGGTCTCAAAAAGATTTAAGCAGCGAGTTGGTTCCATTCGAAAGCTGCCGCGAACTTATACTCTTTCGTTTTCACCATAGTGTTCCACGTTCAGCTGCGTCCTCACATTTGTCATGTTGTCCAAACCTGATAAGATTGAGAGATTGTGAAATAGTTGCAGCGGAGATTTCACAGTGTTTGACCTGCCGAACAACCTCCTCCTGGTGCCAGCTGGGTGGTCCGGGATTAACTCGAGCCAGCAAACGGTTCGGCGGCAGTGTTCAAGGACGTGGTGCATTTTCGCGTGGTAAGCGTTCTCCCTATAAAAAACCACATGTACCCACTTAACAACATTGCGACTTGGCGGACGTGACTTGCCACTAAATAAAGTCACTGCCCCTTGCTTCACTTTGGTGAAGCATTGTATCGCAGCACCTTGTTGCTGAAATCATGGGGAAGATTGAGCCCCTGTTTGGTTACTCACCAAACGAAAGGCGTATGAACTGAGCAATCAGTCACCGGCTCCCAATGGGTGCGAATCCCTAACTTCGCTCCGCTGTCATGCGGGCAGGCTAATCAGCCAAAGGCTCGGGGTGGTGTCCTCTAAGTCAACTCCCTACTTCGGCTTGGGCAACCGGGTAGTATCGTGCACTCTGTGAAAACCGTGGATTTCGTACTTACTACTACGTCGCTTACTTCTGCTGCTACTTTCGTTGCTACTCGTGCTTCTCCATCACACACCAACTTCTCGTTTGTTGATGATCTACAACCTGTTTAATCTACTTCCCATGCCCGTGTTGCTGGTTTCCAAATCATCCGGCCATCAGCTATCCTTCGACCCCGTAATTCATTCCGTCTAGCAGCGTTCAATGTTCGGACCCTCCTACAGATTCGTCAAGAGGCTGGCCTGGCGCGCACTCTAGACTCCCTCGCTATCGATGTTTGTTTCCTTTTAGAGACTCGACTGCATGATCCCAGCACCGTGGTTAAGTTGTCGTCCCCAGCGGCTCTTGAAACCACATATTAACTGCGTCCGTCTGGTGACATGGAGGCAGCAGCAGCCGCCTCAGCTGGTGTCGGTACCGAATTGAGTGACAACGCGGAAGCTGCATTAGTCGACTAGCTTCCAATCGACAGCCGGCTGTGTGCGATTCGGCTTCAACGCTCATGTAGAATCAACAGACATAGTAAAGGGAGGCGCAATTTGTTTGTCCTTTCTACCTACCCTCCAACTGACTGCAGCGGTGCGTCGGTGAAGGATGACTTTAATCGCGGTCTCCACAATCTTTTGAACAAGGCCGAAAAGTCAGATGTCGTCTTCCTTGCCGGTGATCTCAATGCACTAGTATGTCGGCTACTTCCGTGCGAACGTCAGCTTGGTGTCAGTCACGCGCTTGATGAAAGCCGTTCATTAGACCTACAGGAAGATGTTCAGCCACCTGGCGTCCTCCATCCACAACGCTACCGTGGTCACAACTAGGTCACATTGCAATCAGCTTTAGCTGGCGAGGCAGCTTCCGGGGTTGTAGATCGATTTGGTCTACTTACCTCGATTCAGATCATGCTTTGGTCTGCGCGGACATCTGCATGCACTTCGGCGGCTCCTCAAAACGAAATCTCCAAACGCTCGACACAAAGAAGTTAGCTGACCTCTCTACTCGATCAGCTTATCAAGGTTCCTTATCACAAACAGTCATTGGGGCTCCACCTCGAGACATCGAATATCATTGGAGTTTCCTGCGTGAAGCGATGCTAACTTGCAGTCATTTAATCTGCGGAATACAAGGCGCCCTCCGAGAGGCTAGCTTTCTGAACACTCACTGGAATTGTTTGATCGTCGTAGAGCTATTCCGGCAAATTCAAATAGCAGTGCATTGCATCGCATTCTCAGCCAACAACTTAGGCAAAGCTTGAGTGCGGATAGCGAAACTTGATGATCCCAGCGCGCCTCAGAGATGGAAAAGGTCTCTCTGGAAACTTCCGCAAGCTATCCCAGGTCATTCGGGCCGCTGGTCACAAAAGACCTGGTGTCAGTGAGGTCATTTACGAGATTGACGGAATGCCGAGAAGCAAACTATACAGGCGCATGGATGTTGCGGGCCCGTCAAATATCCCCGCAAAACGCGCCAGAAACCCCGGCATAATGGCTGTGGAAAGCGGGGTCCAATTCCTCCTCACAACGTAGCAGAGTTCAGCCACTCCGAGACGCGGCCCAACTGCGCACTTGCTGACAATGTTCTTCTACAAACTACGACCCCGCCGTGGTAGCTATTTTCCCTAAATTAAAGACCCATTGCATTGGCTGTGATTCGCCCTTTGTTTGTCGTAAAAGAGACTTCAATGGGCCACTTGCCTTTCTTTCTCTTCGCCTTAGTTGGGAGTCGGTCGGTCACGTGATTTTGTGTGCGTTGTTAACCGGGCAGCATTCGCGTCTAAGTCACTAGCGCGCGTCTACCGTAACCCCCTCTCGTGTGCGTCCGTTCCGAGGTCTCAGCGTCTACCCGAATACGTGTGGTTAGGATCGTTTTCACGCTCGCTCGATTTCCGTCTCACCAGCGCGTACTCCGGGCTAAGCTGACGCCATCAGGTCAACGCAAATCCGTTCGATTGGTCAGCGTTCCAATCCGTTACCGTAGGCGTGCTCCAACCGTGCCACTGACAATCTTATCAGGCATCGTTAATGCAATCATAACAGAGGCGTTCCCTCAATTATAGCAATGGAGCACAGGGCTGAACACTTCCGCACAATTCAGCTGGCCGCCTGCACTGGCGAGCCTATTGTGTATACCTAGTTGTGCTCCTTAGAACTTCTCATTGGAACCACCCACTGAAGCTGAGGTCTGCATTGGGCTCCGACACTTGAAGCGATTCAAGTCTGCTGGCCCAGGCGGACTTCCTCTAGAGCTGTTCAAGTTCGGAGCGAAGCACTTGCCAACAAGGTAACAACTTTATTCTCTAAGATCTGGTGTGAAGAAACAATTTCATTCGCTTGGAGTGAGTCAATGATCGTACTGAATTTCGAGAAAAGTGCCCGTGCCCTACGCGTTAACCACCGAGGAATCAGTCTAATGTCCGTTGTCTCCAAGCTGTTAAGATCCATTCTACTCCACAGACTAACCACAATTCAAGAATTGTGCTCCAATGAAGAACAGGCTGGTTTGCGCCCTGGTCGAGGGTGTATAGACCACTTGTTTACGCTCCGCCAACTCCTTGAAACGCGTCATCTTTACCGCCAGCCCACTAGCGTTATTTTTCTGGACATCCGAAGCGCTTTTGACTCCGTTGATCGGCCAGCTTTATGGCGTTGCTTACAAAAGAATGAAGCACCCGAGAAGTATATCTCCATCCTTCTAGCGTTAGATTGCAATCTCTAAGAGAAAGTGAGGGCTTATGATAAGCTATCTTCACTTTTTGCCGTCACTAGCGGTGTACGATAGGGTTGCCGCATATCCCTGTTTCTCTTCAATTTTACGATCGAGGATTTCCTTTTAAACGCTATCGAGGGCTTTCAGAGTTCTGGTGTAGAACTATTTTTGGCAACCGCGTGACCGATATAGATTATGCTGATGACATTGCCTTGCTTGGTAATGACGAACAGAGCACACAAGCCATTCTAAACCGCTTGGCGATTGAAGCATCAAACTATGGAATGACTTTTGTCCCTACGAAATGCAAAGTCCTGGTCCTGGATTGGCACCACCTACCCCAGTGCTCACTCTTCAAAGTACGCAACTTGAACAAGTGGACAACGTTGTTTACCTGGGAAGCATTGTCTTTGCTGATGGTAATATTGAAAAAGAAATTTCCCTCCACATTGCCAAAGCCCGTTCGTCATTCACCAACTTGAGACGTCTGTGGCGACGCCACGACGTCTCACTATTGGTAAAGAGCAGGGTCTACAATGCCTGTGCTCGCGAGGTGCTTCTGTATGGGAGTAAGTTTTGGGTGATCCGTGTGAGTGACTGGTATCGGATTTCCGTTTTTGACAATGGATGTCTGCGGAGAATAGCTCGAGTGTGGTGGATGTACCACGTACCACGGGACTTCCACTTAAAAGACTGGTACCACTGCGCCAACTGTGGTGGCTGGGCCACGTTTTACGCATGCCATGCGAACGGCTGCCCCGACGCGCTCTCTTCGCTGGCATAGGACCAGGCTGGAAGAAGTCGTTCAGGCGTCCGCCTATGAAGTGGCGACAAACGATTAAAGCGCTGACTTCCAGTTTGGATGTCGTAGATCCCGTGCGTCTTTCGGGCTGGTGGATCAAAGATGAAGAACACCGCCGGCAGGAAACTCTTTCGGAGATGGCACAGGACAGGACTCAATGGGAAATGTGTACAAATGTTTGTCTTGATTTGCTTGGTTTACATCGCAAAGATTAAACAGGCAGAAATGATAAAACAGCGAGCGAAAAAAACAAAAAAAGATACAAACTACCTTTTTGCAACTTTCATTCTTCTTGTTGTGGTCTCCGTATTTATTACTTCCGTTTCATGGTTTTCGCTGGCTCTCTGTCTAACTTATAGAATGTTGATAATAATAGTAATGCATGCTACCAATCTTTCATTCTGTAGCGAGAACGAGCAATAGGGGCGCACATTCTTTATTGCCAACGCACAACCGGTTCACAGGTTAGGACGCATGCGTGCAGGTATATAGGACAGTTCCCGACCACCACGCACCAAACATTGTCCTTCGCTCGGTGTCACATTCATGCCCAGACTTTAGCAGATCAGTGAAGTCGATGCTCGTCAATCTGCCATCCTATCTTCGCTTCCGCACGTCCTATTCTGACCGGACTGGATTCGTTCTGACGCCTTTGACTTGCTTACTCGGGGCTTCGTCGCGCTCCTCGTGGTCATACCTGGAGGTGCGGCCAAACACGTATCTCTCCGGAAATTCGGACTGTCTGTCACTACAGCCCCCGCTCTTCTCAGCCTGGACCTGATATCGTTTGTCGCTTGTTGTCCATTTCCGGCTTGACCCGTAGGCCTCGAGCTGTTTTGTCGAGTTTCGTCCCCGGCGTCCTCGTTATTTTTCACCTTTCATAGTTTTCGCGGCTTGTCCGTTCCGCCTGTGATCCTTGCCTTCCGTGCCACTACAATACGAGCAATGGCTGAAACGATTGAGGGTATTCAGTGGACGGCATCACAGTTCACGAGGCGACCTGATTATAGCATATTTGATTCTGCAAGACCCACCTCATGTGTGCCGCCCTTTTCTGCAACTCAGCACGAATACAAACCTGAGAGGCCAACCATTGAAACTCGCAGAACAGTATAGCTGTCTGAAGGGCCGCAGAAATTTCGCTTCCTTTCGTGTCAGTCACTCATGAAATGTTCTCTCTGAATCGGTCGTCTCTTCACAGACATTAACAATAGTTAAAAGACGGTTGGATGAAGCTCTCATCCACTTGCCCATTATTACTTAACACTGCGTCTCTATCCTACTCCAGGAATGTACCTTGGAGTTATTTGATATTAACTATAGGTATTATGAATCCATGCGGATGGCGGAACTACAGCGGAGCAAACGATAAGTCTTTCTTCTCTTATTTGAAGTACTAACTGTTTTATTACCATTATTGTTAATATCATTATTTCGACATACCCCCCAACTATTCAGCGGGACTTGTAAAGCCGCGCTTGTTAACCCAGATAAATTCATTGTTCATTGTTGTTCAAAGACTGTATGTACTCGGAGGGCTTAGCGGGTGTTGTTAACGGATATGTTGTGACCTCACTTTGGGATACCAACCACTCAGCAGTCCGTTTGTAATCTGTGAATCGCTCTTTCAAATTATGTCTTTTATACGCACAGGTCGTCGTTGCCATCTAGAGTGCCATCGGAGTCACCTTCTCCACGAAGTTGCAAACCTTGTAACGCTATCTCAAACGCAGCTGTTCCTGTTCCTACATCGATCATCTTCAAAAAGTTGATGAGTCTTGTAGTCAGCTCCTTCAGTCTTGTCACTCCAAGTGTGATACACTGGACTATATTTCGTAAACGGCCAGTCTTAGCATTCTGAGTAACAAGGAGATAAATATGGACGAGTGAACACCTTAATTCACTCATAGCAAGCAATGAGTATAACGCACCCACACGCTATTATGTTTGCTTAGATTCAATTCTTAACTATTTGTTCCAGCGGAGCGCATCAAATACACTTTCACCGGCCACTTCGCAGCCGCATTGTTTCAATTGTAGTTACTTTATTTGGCTGCTCCTTGCCTCAAAAATCCTACAGAATTGTATGCCTTAATGAACTGCTGTATAACTGCGAGGTGTTGTGAACTTGATGTTAGAGTGCTCCAGGTGTCCAGTGTTGAAGATAACAGTGGCGCCATTCACACCTTATCTGAGCTTCTCAGACATTCAACATTCCGTTTCACCGCTTCGACACTGGCTAACGGCGGTGACGTCCTGGCTTTGTAGTGTGTTTTCACTTGACTGAACCGAAGAACTCATTTTCAAGGGGTTGGCTTGACCACTGAAAGTTGGACGGTAGAGTTGTGGAAAATTAAGAAGTAAGGCTGTTTCAGTAACTAAAGTCGGTTGCTGAGCACTGACCACTAAGTCAGTTACGATGCGCCATTTACAGTCTACTGTAAGTCAATATTATCGGTTGAAATTCGTGACCAATCACGAGGACATTGTGAAATACATCAACTGGCTACCGACTGGAAACCGATCAGCTTCACATGAGGTTTCGCAGTACTAATGGTTGCATATCGGTGACTGATGAGGATGCATGAAATGATTGAGTTATCTCGCAACTACGGCTACTGATGTAATTATTTAGAAATGCTATAAGACTAGCGCTGCACCAGTACATACAATGGAAAATCAAAGTTTAATTACCTCGAACGGTATCTATTCAGGTGTCTAGAGACTGCGTTTCGCATAATAGTAAACCTCATAAATGATATCAGACGGTTTGTGAGTGAATAGTAAGATTTGGCGAAATCCAATTAATTCGGGCATAATTTGTTTAGAGCACATTCTAAACACATCAGTGATGCACATACGTGGACCATGGCTTTCCGGGGTAAAGGCGACCAGCTCCAAATCCACCTCCACTTTGCCTCGCGCAGTTTGCAACGCCTCGTCCGATGTCTGATAATATATCATGTGGGTCTGAATGAAGCTGAGTCTGGGACTGAATTTGTCATCCGATGGTCGCTTCCTGCTTAGCATGCACGTGAACACGGCGTGCTGTACATGAGGACGTTGTGCACGTTTTGTGTCGTGTGCAAGTTCACGATTTACAGAGTGGGGGAAATTAAAAAGATTAGTCAAGAGTAAACAAGCAAAACAAACAGCATTATTCAATAGTTGCAGATTGTTGCAGTGTGGTTCCTTGATAGCATCATTTTGGATTACAGTGCTTGCTCCTTGCTATCGCCACCTGGACTACAGTGGATTCGTGATAGCGTACAGAGTCACAAACAATATCAACAACTCTCTAGAGATAACTTATGAACATGCGCCTAAAATTGACATTGGGAGCACTGACGGTCTGCCACAGAGAGGATGGGCCACAATAATTTCTCACTCGCGTACCCAGCCAGAAGTTTTGCACGGACCCAATAAAGCACATTGGTATGTGGGGCTTGTCCATGTTGTCTTGCTTAAACAAACGTGTTAGAGGAGGGATAATAATTCAGGTATAATTAAGCAAATGGTTATAAGTTCCAACTTTCTTTTACTATGCCCATTCACTGAGGTTTGTTTTAACGTGTCATTTTGTTAGCTCCAACGGCTGTTTTAGAGTCGTTTTTTTGATTTTGGATCGCAGTTCCACTCGGAGGCTATGCCATCACTTTCCGTTCTTTGTGTGCATCTGATTGATTTCTTACTAAATCCAGTCCTGATTGACTCTGTTTATTCCCACGCGCTCAAAGTGCTGGTTGGCTTTTGAATCTAGACGTTGTGCTAGCTAACAATGCCGATTCCATATGAGGAGAATCCTATGTCATGCTTCTATTCGTTCGTGTTTGCAATACCGTTAGTGGGTGGAAACAGTCGCAGGGTCCGACACAACAAAACTTTATCAGGTGTTTCCTACTAGCACTGGACAGGACCGACATCGTCTTCATCATCAACGGCAGTATATCAGCCATTTGAACTGATGCTTCGCTGCCATACAACCATGTTGACCTGTGAAATAAAGAAGGGGGACTTACTTGAAAACCTTCATGCCCTAAGCAAACATGGTCATGGCGCCTACACATTGTGTAGATAACATACCGTCACAAACAGCTGGCTATCGTGCAAAGATAAGGCGGCATCGTCGAGACAGCTTCCTTGCGGCCTTCAATGTCCTGCGTCCTAATCAAGCATTACCCCGCAGATAACTCAGAACCAAACACACTTTAAGCAGTCAAACCGATTAGGAGACGGCAGCAGACGCGCCACTGGTGGCGGTTACGAACCATGTCCTGTAAAGTCTCGAGCCAAGCACAAGGCGAGTCACGTAGACTCCAGCCCGGAAGGCGAGACGGACCAACGGCACCAAGTTTGGTCGTCAGTGACTTCATTTCCCGCTGCCAAGTCAACTTCTGTCCACTTCGAGCTTTGCGCCACCATACACCTGGCAGACTAAACAAGGCCCTCCTAGGTAAGCGGTGACCAGGCATACGTAGCACATGCCCCAGCCAACGCAACGTATTCAATGCTATCGGTCGTTCTAGGGAGCTATCATGATTATCATTACCTAGTACTTGCCTACGCACATCATCGTTGCGGACACGCTGGTGCCATCCGACACCAGCAATGCTTCGCAGACAACGATGATTAAAGATCTGAAGGCGCCTCAGATCTTCAGACCGAAGGGGCCAAGTCTCACTACCATAGAGCAGAACGGCCCTCACTGTGGCCTTGTATACACTGCCTCACAGACGGAGGGAAACTCCCTGTTGTCGCTAAACATGTCGCAGGTTCAAGAAGGCAGCTCTGGCCTTTGCAATGCGTGAGCTGACGTCAGTTTTTATGCGCCCATCGTTGCTGTTGCAGCTGCCAAGATAAGTGAAATGATCTACCACCTCGGCTTCTTCCTTGTCAAGGGTCAAGGGGTCATCAAGTATCTGGTGATCCTGCAGTAACACTTTGCACTATGAAGGTGCGAAATGCATACCAAATAATGGGACCACTCTGGACAGGCTATTCAGGGTTGACTGTGCGGTCGCAACATGGTCAAAAAGTAAAACGATATAGTCCGCATAATCAAGATCAACTACTCTTTCACCAAGCACCAATTCATTGCCTACATCGGGAGATTCCGTAAGGGAACACTGCATGATAGAGTCCGCGACGAAACTGAACAAAAATGTGAAACGCGGACAACTGTGACGAACGCTACTTGTGGTCGGAAAGTTATTCGATGGGACACCGTAGACCATGACGCGGCCTGTAGTGTTCGAATATAGAGCACGAAGGATGTTCACATATTTCGTGAGAACACCTTTCCGCGAAGTAATTCGAACATCATCGATCGATCGACGAAATCGAACGCACTCTTGAAATCGAGGAACACAGCTATTGTCGGTCTGCGGGATGCGTGGTGCTGCTCTAGCACCTGCCGCAAAGTGAATATATAGTCTATGCAGCCACCTCCTGGGCGGAAACCGGCCTGTTCTTCCCTAATCCGAGATTCCCGTTCCGCGGTGAGGCGACGAACGATAATCGAGGCCAATAGTTTTGTCACAAATGGCTTTAGGCTAATATCCCTCTCTGTGCGACTGCTCTTCTTGTATATTACCACTATAATCGATTCGCTCCAATTAACCGGGACTCTTCATTCCAGATACGTTCGAGTAGGGAGGGTCAGTGCTTTGCGGAAGACTTCACCTCCATGCTTAAATAGTGCAGGTTGGAGGGAATCCGGGCCAGCGGCACGAAAACGATTGAGGGCTGTGATCGCGTTTCGGACATCGGCCCCCCACGGAGGCTCTAAACTAACCGTCCATGGCTCGTCCTGCATCACCAGAGTAGGAAGAAGTCCAGGAACAGGGTGCAGCTGAACTGATCTTGAAAGTGTTCCGCCCATTGAGCCATGCGGCGCTCTTTTTTACTATCAGCGCACCCGGCGCTGTCTCTGATTGGCTCACTGACGCCTGGTTTTCTGGGACCAGTGGTGCGGATTAGCTGGAAGAGCTTGCGGTAATTGCCTACTGCTCCTGCCTCCTCCATTTCTTGAGCCCTACTGGTCCACCAGGCCTTCTTGTCAGCACGTAGGCTCTGCTTTAGTTCACGCCTAATAGCCCGTCTGGTCACATTATGTTCAGATCCAGCGGGGAGGTCTGTTTTAGATTCCAACAGGTTCACAGACCTCTCGGATATCCAGTGACTGGTGCGGTGACGATGGATAGTGCCACAAGCAGATGCTCCTACTTCGTGCGTGGCGGCCGAGATCCTATTCCACTGAAGCTCAGTGTCATTAGGACAAGACAGCAAGAGTTCGGTGTGCAGTGCGTCTTGATAGGCTTGCCTTACCGAGGACTGAGACTATTTATCCGTTGCCAATTGGAGGAGACTCTTGGTGCGCTTCTTCGGAAAGTTTATGGAGAAACGACAGCGTACCAAGTCGTGATCAGAGTCGACACAGGTACTCCAGTATGAGCGGCAATCCATGATGAAACCACGCCATCTGTAACTTATGGCAATGTGGTCAATTTGGGTCCATCGCTCGCCAGCTACATTAGGACGTCAAGTGGCATTTCGGCGCCCTCTGTGTCTACAAGCAGTGCTACAAAGAAACAACTGGTGCTCCACACACAGTTGCAGCAGATGCTTACCGTTGTCAGTCCGTTCGGAGTAAAGCTCACAATTACCACCCAGCTGAGCTGCTGAAGAGCTCAGACGCCCTACTTGTGCGTTCATATCCCCCTGCAAATACTATAATATCTGACCTAGTAGCACTGCGTAGTAGCGCGTTCAGTTCGTGATAGAATGCGTCCTTGAGAACATCTGAACTGCAGTCGGTGGGAGCATAAGCGGAAATCACAAACAAACAGCGTTTTGTACTACTTCGTGAATCCACCTTAGCTGATGTCGTCAAACGGGCTGCACATAAACGGCTGTTCACCGGAATCCAATCAACCAACAATGGTTCAGCCTTGGAGCTTAGAATGATACCTACACCAGTTTGACCCGTGAGTGCTGCATCGGCGTCTCCGGATGCGTGCAACCAATAACGAGGAGGAGAAGCGGGGTGCAGTTAATTTAATAACCCCGTTAGGGTCATTGATCCTAGTTTCGGACACACAATACACATCAATACCCAGTGTGTCCAAGGTGTGTGCGAGTGCAGCCTGCTGACCTGTTTGTCTTAGAGTGCCAACGTTGAATGTCGAGTTGGAAAGAGGATAGCGTGGCCTTATAAGAGACTTTTGCCGATAGGTGCTGTGGGATGGTGGCTGCAGATGGTTCTACTCCATTGCCACTTCGGTTGCTGTCAATTAAGATGGAAGTTACAGAGGGAAGATTAGTAATGGGGGTCGGGATAAGAGTAAGAGAAAAAGGTGGAAAAGAAAGGTGGCATCAGCAGCAGTATCTTTTCGCCTATCCGCTCTGCTGTATGCAGCAGATAAGGCGACCCTTGATAATCTGCACGACGGCCGATGCAGGATGAAGTTTATGTTTGAAGAAAATGTCATGATTGTATGTGGGCTGAGATACTGCCAGAGCACCCAGACCTAGACAGGAGAACGATTAGGGTCCCCATCCAAAGCCTTTGGCTCAAAAGCCTGTCCGCAAGGCAGCGGGGAGGTGGCAATGCTTTAGTTTTACAGAAAAGGACGCCATCCCATTTCAAACCCCCAAGCTGGAGGACAAGGAGACTGAGTTTGTCTGACCTTTCACCTTTGACCAACCTGGTACGAGTAGCTTTCAAGGTTCCCGTAGGCATCACCCAGTATAGCTCAATGGGTCAATGAGGTACGCAAACCGTCGCACCACGTTAAGGTCCATTCTCGTTGTGTCGGCCGGACGGATATCGCCAATCCCTAATTAAGTAAGTGGAATACACTGAAGACGAGGATTAAGAGGACGCAATCCGGGGCTCTGATTTAATGCTGGCGAGAGGAAAAAGTGCACTAGCAACAGAAACACGTGGCGGTTGTGGGCATTCCGGGGACTTCGAAAGCGTTCTTTGTTCCGTACAGTTGCGGGCCCGTCAAATATCCCCGCAAAAACGCGCCAGAAACCCCGGCATAATGGCTGTGGAAAGCGGGGTCCATTTCCTCCTCACAACGAGGCACAGTTCAGCCACTCCGAGACGCGGCCAAACTGCGCATATTTTGACAATGGTCTGTTGTAAACTACCACCTCGTCGTGGCAACTGTGTTCCCTAACTTAATAACCCATTGCATTGGCTGTGATTCGCCCTTTGTTGGCCGTAAAAGAGCCCTCAAAGGGCCACTTGCCTTTCTTTCTCTTCGCCTTAGTTGGGAGTCGGTCGGTCACGTGATTTAGTGTGCGTTGTTAACCGGGCAGCATTCGCGTCTAAGTCACTAGCGCGCGTCTACCGTAACCTCCTCTCGTGTGCGTCCGTTCCGAGGTCTCAGCGTCTACCCGAATACGTGCGGCTAGGATCGTGCTCACGCTCGCTCGATTTCAATCTCACCAGCGCGTACTCCGGGCTAAGCTAACGCCATCAGGTTAGCGCAAAGCCGTTCGATTGGTCAGCGTTCCAATTCGTTACTCTAGGTGTGCTCCAACCGTGCCAGTGACAAGCTTATCAGGCGTTACGCAATCATAACAGAGGCGTTCCCTCAAGTATAACACATACATACTGCAACCGTGACGAGAAATAGTCAAGTCATACTTAGCATCGAGCCACTAGGTCCTTTGGTATGTATTTGGGACTAAGATTAGGATCTGGTGGGAAACTATCTGCCAAGTAATTGGTTACATTTGCATCAAACAAATCAACAGGATGTCTATAGCTCTGAGGCATAGGTAGCGCACAATCCAGCGTAGTTGGTATTCTTATGAGGACTAAAGGTGTGCGCAAGTCTAAGTCGGAATTCACCCACATATATATGTCAAACCGCACATCGCATGGCTGTGTCTGCTCTCGCTGTTTATGACAGAGCTGATGTTGTTACTGAGGTGTGGCATAGAGAATGTGCAGAGGAGAACAGAAAATAACTGTTAGGAGAGTGGCAAATCTAAACCGAAGTAAATTCAATGTCCGAAAACCAAGGCAAGTTGGAGCCATGGAATCGTACTGAATCCCATAACTTGCGCAGAAACACGGAATTACACATAGTCCAAAGTTAAGTGCTTATAGTAAACGAAACAAAATGACTTGTTCAGAAAGGTAAGCGCGCAATTCACCAAAAAGTGATGTGTGGTTTGTATGGGAACAGCCTTGCTCTACAATCGAACCAGTGTATTTTCGTGCTACAGAAGCAGTGGATTCTGTGGCCTGCCTCACACTACACACATCTCTTGGCTCTTCAAGATGCCATAAAATGGAACATGCCTACAACCATGATTTGAGCAATAATGGTGTGTTTTTCTTCACACGTTGATTCATTTTGCATTCGGTTCGCGAACAGACTCTTTTGTTCGGTGACATGACTTCTGGTACTCAAGATATGGCTATAAGAAGCCCATTGACACCACATTAACCTCCCATGATCTGGCCACAATCGAGGTCAGGGTTCTGAAGGTCGGACTAGTGGCACACCGGGGCTGTACACGTACTTGGAGGGATAGTTGAAAGATTGTTTAGTCACGGAATTAAATCAAAGTTACCATACGACTTGAGCAGGGTGGAACAGACGAAGCAAAGTCACAGCGGTGCGCTAGGCTCAACTCACCCCAGCCTGTAGGCCCTTGAACGGGGATATAAACAACGCCTCGGATGAAGGTTCCTTTTTGTAACCAAAGGCCGATGCCAAACTGTGAGATGGAGAAAGCGGCACAAAAAAGGAATGTTTAGAAGATAGCCAGTATAGCCAGAAAGTGACTTTATACGCTCGCGAGTTACACCACACACCTAGTGAGGCTACCACACCTGAATTGCGGCGACAGGACTCGAGGCATTAATGAGGATGTCCAAGGTAGACGGTAACAATATGCTAAGGCCCCCGAAGTTGGCCACTTCCGTACCTTGATCACCTCACTAAACTGACTGTAGCGGGATCTTACATGATTGGAAAATTCACCTGAACTTGCTAAGGATTGGCACTTGGATTGTAGTTTTCCGATCATTCAACTGATCTCTCAACGTAGGTGCTGGTGCACTGAACTATGTCCTCAGAAGACCTGAATAAGGTGATCACTCTCATATCCCACTCACATGTATTTAAATTAGTAACTGTCCAATTCTCCGAACCCTCACACACTTGTCTTGTAAAAATAATAATAAAAATAGTGCTTCAGGTGTGCACCGTAACGGGGTTTTGCTGCCACGCGACTACCACCATTCGCGTGCCGGCTGAGTATATCGCGACGTCCGCCCCTACGCGGATTCGAACCGGTGACCTTATGGTTGCAAACCGGGCAGGCAGACCATTCGGCCACCGTTCAAGAACTTCAACTGCATTTCCTCGTTAACGATAGTTGATCTTATTTGACTTTGTTCCTTTACACTATTTGTTCCTATACACTATGTGTGATGTCACTATTTCCATGGAAATGTGACATGGGTATCAATTTCTCTGAGTGAAGATTAGGTCGTCAAATTCGACACCATGTTAACTAGTATGTGCGCTTTCTGTAAACCCTCACTCTGTGCTTGGGCCGTCGATGATTGTCCTGTACCCTTGCTAATATTTCCGCACGACTGGTGTGTACATTCTTTGGCCGTCTGCTTGAACAGCGCTTTCCTCAAAAAAGTCATCGGCAATGCACCGGTATGCAGTACCGACGCTTGACTGCCGCGCAGCCACCACCGGTCGCACGAGGGCTAAGAATACTACAAGGGTCTCCTTGTCCCCACGCAGCCTCGTTTCGGCGCCGTCAGATTACAAGACAAGCTTGTTACCATTAGGTTACGGGCCAGCAGCACTTTCCTTCCTAATGTGCTATTGCATTTGGTTGTTGACAGTGTTACTCCGCGATCCTGGACAATTGAGGTATGCCCGATGATACGTAGTAACGAATTCAAGCAAAGTACCCCCCTTCCCAGATTGCAATTCCACAAGTACAAGGCACAGTACGAAACAGAGTGTATCGGGCGAAGCACTGCAAACATGATTCGCATGACACACGAGTTAAAGCATGAATTGAGGAACTATTAATTGATCAATGCGAGGCAAACCAATATGAACGCGGTGTGACTGAACTAACTAATCAATATCATCGACGGATGTAACATCCCCTCCTCTCTTGGAGATAGTCATACTCGGGAACGAAACGTTCAACATGTTTAGGCACAAGTTACTATCTGCGAAGTAGTGGGCAGTTTGTTGTTTGCGCCCTATCCTGAGTAGTTGGTTCCAACGTCAGATTGACTGTCAGATATATTTTCGTCATTTTCCAATGTTTCTACACAACGCATTCGTATGTGATCTGAATGACGCCTCAAGACGCGACCATTTACCTCTAGGTCAGCCTGGGTACCATTCCTTGTGACCACGGTTGCGAGCTGCCGGGACTGATCGTGGGGAAGTCGTGTATACCCAGGACTTCCAGGTTGGAAAACAGCATCGTGATCCCTGTTCAGCCTAGCTGTCTTGTTTGGTCTCGCTTCTATTTGCGCTCGACCATTAGGAAATAATAGGTGTAATCTGGTGAGAACTGTTCTGTATATATATATATATATATATATATATATATATATATATATATATATATATATATATATATATGCACTGAAGATGCCACCTCGAATGGTGGCGAAACGTTTGCAACCAAGTTGCCCAGCTCGGAGAACGCCACAACAAATGAGCTTGAGTCATGGTTTCCAAGGTCTTCAACCAGCAATTATCCACTTCTCTCGGACCCTAACCAGGTAGTGGACAACAACCGGCCGACGCCAACTGTTTCGTCAGCTTTTTCATGTGGCTTTTCCATGTTGAAGACTGTCCACCAGACCGTCTTCTCCAGCCCTGTTCAGCAACCGCAAACAACGCATGACGCGGGTAACGCTGGACAGGCATATGCAATACCTGTCCCAACCACAGCAGTTGATACAGTGAGACGAGCTCCTCGAGCGAGTGGCCTCCACATCCCAAGGCACGCTGTCTAACTTCCACATTGCTTACGTGGTGCTGCCACCACACACGGGCAATGGACCGCAGACTGCGATGCTCGAAGACGGATAGCCTGCGCAAGTCATCTTTACGAATGGGCCAGGTCTCGCATCCGTACAACAGTACAGCACGAACAGTTGCATAATAGACGCTCTATTTGATGGAGAGAGGAATGTCATGGTGACGCCACAAATGCCTCAGCCTAGAAAAAGCGAGGCGTGCTCTCGAGTTGCGCATCGAAATCTCGTCTCCAACAGCTAAGCCATCAGTGATACAATTTCCCAAGTAGTCACAGCTCTCCACAACCTCTAGTGTCTCATCACCAAGAGTGCGTGCAGGCAGAGGCACCTGCCAGTCTTGGAAGAGACCGTTGCATTTGGATGGCGAAAAGTACATACCATAATTTGATGCTTCAGTCGCCAAGCGGTTTGGTGCAAGTTGTACGACTTGTGGATCGTCACCCAGCAAGACGATATCATCAGCATAATCCAAATCTAAAACTCGATTACTTGGGAGGAGCTCAACGCCAGTGTCCAACGAATCGCCCAGAGCATTCTTCAGGACATCCTCAATGGCAAAGTTGAATAGGAACGGGGAGATAAGGCATCCATGTCGAAATCCACTGGAGACCACAAAGGTAGGCGAAGGCTTGTCATAAGCCCTAACCCTGCTCGAGGTCAGACTATAGAGGGCGCGCAGTATAGAGACGAAATTCTCGGGGACACCATTCCTCAGTAGGCTATGTCACAGTACTGTACGATCGACAGAATCGAAGGCTGCACGGATATGCAGGAACACAGCAATCGTTGGCCTCTGATACACATGGCGGAGCTCGAGGATCTGGCGAAGTGTGAAGATTTGATCGATGCAGCAGCGACCAGGGCGAAACCCAGCTTGTTCTTCTCGTTGCGACGATTCGCGCGTTGGGCATTAGCTGCGAATTATGGTGGACACCAGTAACTTGCAAACGACGGGTACAAAGCTTATGCCTCTCCAGTTGGATTAGATTGTGTGCAGAGCCTTTCTTGAAGCTGGGGACGACTATCTATTCACCCCAAGATGATGGAACTTTCTCTTTCGACCAAATTTTTGAGAACAAAGCGGTGAGTTCTCGAATCAGCGAAGCGCCACTACCTTTAAATAGAGCTAGAGGAAGACCATCAGGGTCGGGGGCTTTATGACTTTTCATGAGCCGGAGCTCTTGCTCGAGTTTCTAGTAAGAAGTAGGATCTGTGGGGGTAGACTACTCGGCCCCAGCGCGAGAGCCAGAGGTAACACATGGAACTGGGGGCCAACAAAACTACGAGCCAAAATGTTTGGCCCATCGCTCCAACCGTCCTTGAAGGTTGGTGATTAAGGTGCCATCCTCTTCACATATTGTTTCACTTATACCAGATCAAACACCCTCGATGAATCCAATGAGATGGAATAGTTTGCTGGTATTACCAGACAGACTAGCAAGCCCCATCTCCTTAGCACCATCACACCACCAAGCTTCGCGTTCCATTTGCAGACTCCTGCGCAACTCTCGACCAAGGGAATGGCGTTCTCCACTGTGTCTGAAATCCGACGGGATCAAGCAGCGTTTGTCCATCAGCGACGGTGTTCTGCCGAACATCAGCTTTTCGGGGGATCTACCCGTGGATTCCGTCGGAGTTATTCGCTATGCAATATATAATCGATCTAATTGCGTTTGTATGGTTCCCGATAACAGCTTTTGCAGACCACTTTACGATCTGCACCGCCCTTTCGACTAATCCGTTTGTCGCAGGATGATATGAGGCTGTACGTACGTGTTGAATGCCATTGCTCTGCTTAAAGCTCTCAAACTCCTTACTGCTAAAACCAGACCCATTTTCTGTACAAACAGTTTCAGTTATTCCAAGAACTGAAAACGATGATCACATCTTTGAAATGGTGGTTTTACCCATGGGATGAGACACTGGATAAACATCGATCCAATTCGAATAGGTGTCGACTAACAAAAGAAAAAATGCTCCGTTCAAAGGACCAAAATAGTCTGCATCGATACGCTGCCATGGCCTTTCGGGCTAAAACAAGCGTGCATTGGGTGTGGAGGTTTATGCAACGGCTACCATTGACAGAGATCACAAGTTTATAGGTCGTTTTCGATTTCGGCATCTAAGAAGCGCCACCAACACTAGCTGGGTGCAAGAGCATTCATTCGGACAACATCTGGATGTCCATTGTGAAGTTCATTTCGAATGAACGAGCGCGCTTTCGACGTTGGAACCAAACTTCAGTCCCAAGATAAGCAACCATGGCGTAAATACGGCTGATTTTTCCGAAGGGCAAAAGGTTTCAAATCGGCCGGAATTCTACTAAGCCAGCCTAGTTTCGTGAAACATATCATGGGGATCCCGATCGGTCCATCGACGTACGAAGTCATTTGTCAAAGGGATAGTGTCAAGGCACTGCATCAAATGAACTGACTCCACCGGTACATCTATTGTCCCTGCAATGGTCGCGTGCGGTAAGTGATTCAGGGCATCCGCCGTGCAATTGTTAAAGCCTGGGATGTAAGGTATTTTGTATTCATACGCATTATGGATTATAGCCCATCGTTGTATACTAGCTGAAACATCGGATGAATCCCTTTGGATTCACCCAATAAGAATAGTAACGGTTTGTGATCAGTATGGATCTCGAAATGACTGTCTCAAATACACAGATGAAATTTCT